GAGCAAATTGGACTGCTTGTTTCCTCAGAGCGCCTCTGACAGCTCAGTCTGGGTGACTGTGCTGCTTTCTCTCTGCCTCTCTACCTCGCTCGCTCTCCCTGATTACCTCTTTGCAGGCGAAGCAGAGAGAAGAGGAGAGGGGGAACGAGGGAGAGAGTGGAAGAGGCTAGTTTCCACGGTGATGGCTGATGAAAGAGAAAGAGGAAGGTTCTGCTCGGCTGCACACCCCTTCTAATACTTTCTTCTCTCCCCCTTTGCTTGGTCTGTTCTTTCTCAATCGGCATGCCCTCCCACTCCATCTCTTGCTCCAAACAGCTCTCACTCTGTGTTTCCATTCCTCTAATCAGGCCCACGTTACTTTGTTTCTCCCCCGGCATTAATGAAACAACCACCACTCACGTCACTCCGGTGGCTTCCCATGTCCCGGCGGCTTCATTCCTGCAGGTTCCAGGCAGCCACACACACTGCAGGGCCACAGGTTTTTGGACTCGGCAGGATTACGCTTCTGCAACATGTTAACTGTTTGATGACGGTGGGAATGACCGCAGCCTGGATCATTTTTAGAGCGCGTTCCGGTTCTGGAGGCCTCTGCGGTTTCATTCAACTCAAACCGAACGTACCTCGCCTCAAAGAAAATAAAGAGATCCAGAGACTATGAGTAGGTGTAGTCCCCCTTAGCTGACTGATGCGTTTGCTGTGTTACTCCACTAAGCTGTCTGACCCCCCCTGTGCAGACAGAAGAGTCTGCTCAGAGGCTGACTCCAGAGGATAGTCTCTTTACTCTATTGACTGTAAAAGCGTTAATGATATTCCAGTGGTGTGCTTCTTGTTTTATTTTCCCCGCCGTCTGGGGGATCATGGAGCTGTAAAACCTTAAAGATCCCTGGATCAAATTAGATCTGTTGATTCAATCCATTTCTATGAGTACATTTACATCACGTCATTTTTTTTAAACGACCATGTTAGTCTGACCATATCTGGAAATCGTATTTGTATGACTTCAACCTCATGAAATCAAGCTTCCTAAATGTGAGGCCCAGATCATACGGTTGGGTTCAAACCACTTTTGCATTTATATACTCCGTTAGATCTAACTGGACTCACACGGTCGGGTCGTGCTCAAAGTTTCCTCCTTCTGCAAAAAACACTAAGATCTTAGATCAGTGCTGTAAAATCCCAGTTCTGCCGTACTGAAATCCCGATTCTAAAACCGCCGCCTCATCTGACTAAAGATTCCTCTTTCACGCCCCTTAAAAACGAGGACCCTGTCGATATTCCGTTTGAACTCTAGTCTCCTTTTGTCATCTGACTATTTTCATCCTAAACTTGAGTAAACACTCTACGGAGATGAGGTCTATATCTCACTATGCTGTGACCTCCTTTGTACTTTGCTCTTGAGATTCCCTATTTGTCTTTCTCACTTGTTTCTTCTTTAAGAGACTGGAGTGAACTTTTAGTGGACTACCTTCTCTGATGATTTTCTTACCCTCCAACAGATGCCAATTTAAATTACGAGCGCAGTCAAAGGCTGTAGAAAAACCTCATCTTTATACTACAAAGCAGCCCCTCTCAGAAACAGCAGCAAGAGGCTTAAGGTCTAACTCATCAAAGCAGCCGGCAACATGTCATTCATTAAGGCTGTAAAAGATCTTGTTGTAGTCCAAATGATGTTTTTCTCACAACATTTTGTCGTCACTAAATAAAGACTTAATCGACTAAAGAGACATAAACATAAACGGTGAGTTACAATTTGGACGCTCTTGACGTTTTTCCTCCCAAAGCAGCAGAACGCGTTCGTCTTAGTGTGGTGCTGAGAGGTGTGCGTTGGAAAACCTGACATTACTCCCTGTTAGGATTTAGTGAGAGACAGAGGCTGGAGTATCGGAGTCGGGGCAAAGCCTTCAAACAGCTAAATGGTCAGGAGCGTCCCTCCCACTGATCCCATCTTGTGCCCTCTCTCCAGAGAGACTGGCTTAGATAAAAGTTTAGAAATGAAGCAGGGAGGTTTTACCTCGCTGCTGCAGGATTTCTTTCCCTTCTCTGTGCTCTGCTTGGATTTGTTCGTAACAAAAAAAATAAAGGACTTCCAATTATTACCATTTTTGTCTCTGATGTTGATAAGATCTCAAGACACAAACATGTGCGTAGGTGTTGGTCCAATTACAGCCTATTATCGGCTCCTCTGTGCGAGATGTTGGGGAAGATTACATTCTCTGAAGAAGTAGCGTGGGGTCCTGAGGCCATTTTCTTTGGAGCGCTGTGACGTGACCCGATGTAACCCTGAAGTGTTCTGTACACCGCGCGTTTACCGCCCAGTTAATGATGAGCAGGAGACAAGCTGCATGCCCAGGCTCTTCCTCTCAGCTTGTAAGGCGTTTATGAATAATAAACTTAGACAAGCGGGAACCTGGGACGGAGTGAGGAGGGGAGGAGATGGACAGAATGACAAAAAAGAACTTATTCACTCCAGTTTTCCGTTTGTGTAAAGTGTGCATGAGTGAGTCTGTCAATTGGGAGCCTCTGTGTGTGTGCGTTTGTATCTGTGTGTGTGTGTACGACATTGTTCTGACATAGAGTTAACTGTGCACACTGCTTCCTCTCCGGTGCTGACATGGTAGCTTGGGAATATCCCAGAATTTGCTATTTATTCATTCAATTACAAGCCTGTATACGTGTGTGTGTGTGTGTGTGTGTGTGTGTGTGTGTGTGTGTGTGTGTGTGTGTGTGCCCGACATAGCCATCTCATTCTGGGGGGCATAGAAGGCTATTACGGGGCCAGATGGTGCAGGTAAAAGGCTTTATTGAAAGCACATTCTCATTTACGGTCACACTGGCTCACACACACAGAGAAAGCAAATGCATGCGTACTGCATGAAAACACAGAAAGGGGAAAAAAATCATTTTCTTCTGCATTTCCAATTTTCACATGACAGAAATGATTCCACGTGACAGGTGACAGGTAACTCATCCACAGTCTGGTTTAGGGACCTCTGCTGCCCTCACGTCACACACAAAAGGAACTTATCGGTTTTATTGGACGGCTGGAAAATAGAGTCAAAATAGAGCAAAGAAAACAAGCCCCCCCCGGATGAATCCCCTTTCACCGGACATGCTCTTAAGGTGTGTCTGACTATAGGCTCTTCTCCAGTCTTGATTAAAGTTTGAACAGGTTTGAGACAGCTTTCGATGACTCGTAACAGTCTCCCAATATATCGCTACTGAGCTACAAATGGAAACTTCCGAAACCCCAGCAAAACAGGCACGTTGCTGTCATATTAAAGTGGGGAGTCCGGAGCCATCGTTTTAAGATGCCCTCATTGGCAGAAATCGCTTGGAATGCAAGCAAAGCCAATGAAAACAGTTCACGGTTTCACATGCTCACCCACGGCGAGCGGGTGAGTAAACATCCAGAAAGTGAGAATCAGGTGAAATCATTAATATCTTACTCTGCAAGGGACTTAGCAGGAAAAGTGCACATTTTCTAACTTGATTAAGACGTGAGATTGGAATGTACCAGAGTCCAGATGCACAGAACCTTGTTTAGGTTTACATCTGTTTGTTTTTTGTGGCAGAATTAGAACTTTTTACTTTTAGAACTGTTAGCATGTGCAAAATCATAGTTTTTATCTTCATGATCCGCTGAGAATGGATTTGTGTGCACTCCAAATCTGTCCTTCAGATCTCCAGATAGAGAGAGAACTAAAGAGCTCTATAATGAGAGCAGCAGTCAAAAAGAAGCATCGTTTCATGGAACAGGAAGCAGGGGCACTTGTGAATTAGGAAAAGAAAAAGCATATCTGTTTTGATCAGAGATCTCTTTTTAAGGAATTACGAGTAAAAGAGTAAATTGCTGAATTAGAAAGAAGAAACAAGCAATCAGCTGTAAGTTCCAGGGAAAAAGCAGCCTGCAGAGTTAAAGAACAGTCTGGTTGTGAGCACGCATCAGCTCACACGTCATATCGAGAAACAGCTGAGGGCCGGCAACTCCTGCTTCATCTGCAGTGGAAGGCAACGGTCAACAGCAAACGGTCTGAGTGGACACTATCAGGAGAGAGACAGACGAGCTGACAGAGGCCCGAGGAGGCCCGCCACACAAAGTTGTGCCAGGAAATCAGAGCCCAGTCTGTAAATGAATGGACCGTTTCTGGAGCTTATGCACCGCAAATGTGGAAACCACAGTGAAGTCCCATCCAACTGACAGTAGGACCGGTGAGGCCCACAAAACATTACCAATAACACCATCCCTAAACTCTCCGGATGCTCTTTTGACTTCTTCATCTTCCACTGACCATTAGCCATGGCCTCTGAGGCGCCTCCTACCCTGAATACCTCTCTTTGCTTTGCACTTTTTTGTGCAGAAGAGAAAAACAAAAACATGCAACACGTATGCATGATGTGATGAAAATGAAATATCCAGCCTATGCCCGCAGGCTCTCAACTCCAAAAGTTTCAGCTGCATGCAAAAAACAAACAAACAGACTTCTCTTCGGGAATACCGAGTCAGATGATCAGCATATTCTCCCAAACTTGTTTGTGGCCACTTGTGCCTGCAGAACGACAGGTGGCAACTACTTGCAAAAACCCAATCCAAGGATACTCCACCCTGACCCTCGCGTTTGGGCTCTCTGACTCCAGACTTCCGACCAGGAATCTTTTTACAAAAAGCGCCGCTGACGGTCTGTGCTCGTTTGTGTTAAACGGTGCGGGAGACACACGGCAGACACACACTCGCGTTCCTCTGATGTGAGGCGGAAGTAGACGGCGGAGGAGTCTGAGTGCGCGCGCGCGCGAGCACGCGACTCCGTACACACCCACAGGCTGGCGCGTGGCAGACCCGCACAGACAGCTCTGACAGACAGACAGACTGACAGAC